AATCAGACCAATGACACGAACATCATCAAAAAAAGCAAAGACGACCCAAATGGAGTTGAAAAAACTGAAATCATTATTACCATCATTACAACAAAAGTCTTCCTCATCACCGATGGAAATCGTTATGGAAACTATTCGTTACATTCGACAACTCGAAGATCAATTAATCGATCGATTTCAATTGGATCTATCATCATCACTCTCCGATGTCTCAATGAATTCATCTCTATCACCATCGATTCCATTGCAAGATATCGGAAATAGTAAATGAACGTTTTCTTATAACAGTTTTCCACTCTCTGTACATACTTTTTTTTTCAAATACATTCCGATTGAAAGACAAGAGTTTTGTTTGATTATAATGAAAAGAATGTTTCTTTGAACAATCCGACGGTTACATCAAAATCGATATCTGATTGAAGGTGATGATTGTCACCTTATTATGTGAGTCCTATCTGATTTGCGATTTCTTTTCACATGATCATAAATGAAACAATCTGTTGATCGATGTAATCATCAAACAAGAAGAAAGGAAGGAAATTACCGAACGAAACTAATAAAAACGAATTTTCCTATGGGAAAGAGCGGAACAAATATTCTTTTCAATCGATTCATTGTGATAATGTTTATGACACTTTACTACAAAGAAAGAACAATAACCATTTCGCTTGATTTCGACATACAATGGGACGTTATTTTCCCACCGATTCGCACTACTTCATCTCGATCTGAACAGCATGAAACTTGTATACATTCAGGTGCTAATCATCATTATAATAATATGCCTGTACTTGATACCAGCACATATTTTTCTATTCTTCTCGTCTTAAGTTGGATATTGTCATGTGCTTTGCTATTCAGGAAAGAGATTGGTCATTCTCGTCTCCCCCTATTTAAATAAGGTAATGAATACTTGACGAGAAAGAAAATGATTCATTTATAATCGATCTACGAAGTTGAAGTAACCAGTTATTGTTTGCTGATGGTAATGATGTACGGGAAAAGGAAGAGAATGAATTCGAAATTTTAATCATGTTCGTTGTTGTTGGTATGCAGTAAACGAAAAGAATGAGAACGGATGTGTTTAGACACAATGACAAGATCATTGCTAATTACTTTTTTCAACATGAAAATCAATATTTGTATCTTCTTAATTCGTTACAAACAATCATCATTAATCTTGTGGTGTGTTACCACCCTTTTGGAAGATGTCATCCTTCGTGTACATGTTAAAAGCATCTCGATGTTCGATTTGAATTCTATAGAGGAAGTGGCAATGACTTGATATTCGCTTCTCTTGATATGAATGGAAGTCACAGAAGGACAAAAATGGAGTATATTTACGTCAGAAGTACGAAAAAGTACGAATTAGTACATAGAAGTACAGAAATTGGATGTTTCTTTTTTAACATAAATAAACTCGATGATCATGTTTTAAGTTAGCTGATCGTGCATAAATGCTTATTCTGAAATGGAAAATGATTGAATAGCAAACAGTTATGTTGATTACTTCGGTTATTTTTCCATGTAATTTTCCCTACGACAAAAAAGTCATATAAAGTGATCATTTTCGTATCAATTAGCAACACAATGAAAATGTTTATTCTGTACTCAATGACATTTTCAGTATGCGTAAACTAATTCTACAATCGTCATTTAGGCGTTATTTGAAACTCTTTTGCGAAATATAAGTATTTTGCAGATATTGACAGTAATAGCGAATTAATGTTATATTCGTGAAAAGAAAATATCGTATAACACAATGCATGTATTCGATTTATGTATTAAAAGTTTACTAATGGATCGAGACACAGGTTAAAACGAGCTTGGTTTTCTTTTCAATACTATTTTGGATGAATGACACCAACCGCGTACTTTTGTATTTGAATAATATGCAAATACTTGGCGATTTGCAAATTATAGTTCATAATTGACGCTAAAGCACTTTATCCGAAAGATTTTAGCTTTGAATCGTTTTTGCGAATGTTTTTTTCAGTAGCTTGAAGATGTAATTAAAACAGAATGATTAGATTTCTTTTCATCAATGAATAACTATTGTAAAACAGAGAAAAGTACTATTCATATTAGATTTATTATTCTTTCAAAACATCGTTCTTAACCAAGGAATTATATAAATGTCAGCGCATAAAGTTTTTAACATTGATACTTGTATGTGAGGAATCGGGTCACATACGCGATTATTTCTAGAAACACTAGATTTCAAGCGCTTTTGTTTTAGCGATAATCAATTATGTTTATACAATTCGTTGTGGTTCTGTTCGTTATTCAACGCTGTAATGGGGTTACTAGTCCCGTTTCGCCATTTACGACTTATCAACATACAGTTGAACTTCAACCAAATGTGTCTGATCTTTGGTGGACAATCAATGAAGCAAATCAAACGATTCTCTTTGAGTTGCATATCAAAACAACCGGATGGATTGCCTTAGGTATTAGTCCAGGTAGGAAATTTAAACGTTCATCGAATGCGAGCAAAGAAATTGACTTTTTTTAGCCGGAGGAATGACCGGTGCTGATATTGGTGTCGGATGGGTTGAACAAAGTGGAACAGTGCGCTTCCTAGTAAAAAACTTCGTCGTTTTGAATAATTCGGAAAGATAATTTTGCATTATTTTCAGGATGAATATGCAACAACATTTACACTACCATTGCTAGACAACAGCACTGATTGGTTTGCTTTGCAAGGTCGAGAACAGAATGGCTGGACTGCCATTCAGTTTACACGCGCTCTTGATACATGTGATTCTATGGATGTAGCAATTCAAGTAAATAATCAAGCATCATTATTCTCATACTTGCTAGAGTTGAGTCAAGTGTAGCTTATAGTACATATCACAAGAAAACGCTAGTTCTTTGACAATAGAATTTTGTAAGGATGAGTAGTAATTGACTTTCTATATAGTCTGGCACTAATCATCTGATCTTTGCATATGGTCTGGTAGATCCAACTTGGAATACTACCAGTAACCCTATAACTTACCATCAAACTCGCAGAGGTTCATATTCACTATCTCTGCGATCATACAGTGATCCACCATTGGAAAGTAAATTCGCTACATTGAATTACTTTGATTTTCGAATGAACAACGTATGTTTCAATGCTTTCACTTCCTATTCGTTTCTCTTATCTTCTCATTTTTACATAGTATACTATTCCAGCACAAGATACCACGTATTACTGTAAAGTTTTCAGAGCACCAACTAATTATACCACAAAGCAACACGTTATCGCCGTATGTATGAATCCTTTCATTGGAAGTTATCTGTTTCTTTTTTGCAGAATAAAATGTTACTCAATTCTACTGATATATCAAAAATTCATCATTTATTAATGTATGAATGTGATTCGACAGTTACATTCAACGATTCAAATCTACCGAGTGACATATGTGAAAATATTTACAACAAAATCGGAGCTTGCATGTTTAATATTGCTACTGGTTGGGCTGTCGGCGGAGATGTGGTAAGAATCCGAGGATAAAATCTATCAACTAAGACAATCAAATGTTAACATATAGATGTCTGAATTTCCTTCGGATGCCGGTTATCCAATCGGTGGCAATGCCACTGTTAAATACTATGTCGTTCAAATGCATTATACTAACTCAGATTTATGCACAAGTAAGAATCACACTTGCGATAATTATGAGTGATGTCCTTCGCAGATTGTCAGGACAGTTCCGGTCTTCGATTTTATGTAACTGATGCACTACGGAAATATGACATTGGTTACCTAACATTTGGAACAGATACAGACGCACTTAGTTTAACAATTCCACCACAAGTTGAAACGTTTTCCGTAGATACCTATTGCCCAGCGTCAGCAACTGCGGTATGTTTAAAAGCACCGCTTTCGTATCTAACCTAATTGATATCTATTGAAGCTTTTCCCAGCCAGTGGAATTACTATAATAAACGCATTTCCCCATACGCATCTGCAAGGTAAGTTTAAGATTTGTATGGAGTTTGAAATTTAAATAATCGGTGGCAATAGGAAAAAGTATATGGACAAAAATCATTCGAAATAAAACTGCTGTTGGATACCTATTCAATGCTGAAACATATGATTTCAATTATCAGTTTAACAATCGTCTTCCGAACCGAATAACGATCTATCCTGTAAATATCATTTACACATGATTGATTCAACGTAAATATTAATAAAAATAATTTCAGGGCGACGAGTTCAGTACACGTTGCGTTTACAACACAATGAACAAGAACACAACGACGTTTGTAAGAGAAGGATTTGTTCGGTATTACTAACTGAATATCTTTCCATTCAGGGCGGTGAAAGAACAGTAGATGAAATGTGTCTCCATATGTTTACCTATTTCCCTCGCATGGAAAATATGTCTCTATGTCTATCATTTATTTACTCAGGATCTTGGGCGAATTTCTTAGGAATAAACACGTAAGATTGACATTGAATGCTTAGAAGTCATAAGTAATCATATTTTCTAGCACTATGAATCAAACTTCAGCTGCTGTGAGAAAGATAGCTTCGAACATGACTTGGACATCAAACATGACCACGAAATGGCAAAACTTCTATAACAATGCTACGCGTATCACTGTGTACGGGCGCGGAATGAATTTACCATATGCCATTGTACCAAGTGTGTCAGACTATCGTGATTTGCAGAAAACGGCTTGTGTTCCGAGAGGAAGTATTATCAATACATCCAGTGCTACACGGACAATCCATTTTGGTATATGGCATGTACTAATCATAAGTACTTCAGTTCTTTCATTTTTAACCAAAATGAATAGTCAGCACATGAAATGATCTGTGACAAAGTAATGAATGATTTAAACTGTCCTCGTTTGCTTTTGATATTTTGGAAACAAATAAAATTCAATCTTACTGCATCATCTTTGAAGGATCGGTTTACTATTTATTGTTTATTTTAAAGTAGTTATCATTTTTGATTATGTCGTGAATATGAACATATGAAAAAAAAAGATGTTCTCGCATCTTATGATGTGTTCGATGTGTCGTCTGGTGTTGAATTCGATGCTGTTTCTGCATCTTTCTTATTTTTCTTTGATTTCTGTTGTTGATTATTTCCTCCACCACATTTCAGACAGTCCGTCATTAATTTTAAGTGACCAGTGATTGGATCTAATTGATCATTTGTACCAAAAATACCGAGACATGTGATTGATCCACTTGCTATCTCTGTTCGGCCAGCATCACGAATAATCGATGTTAAAACAGATTTATGAACTGATACACGTTGTTGAATATCCAATAATTCTTCTGCTGAATTCGCACGAACGACAATCTTCTTTTGTCCAGATATACTCCAAAAATTCAAAGCCATCAAACGTCGATTAAGAATCTGTTGATATAAATCAATTGCAGAATGAGCTACTTGCGCTGCAAGTTTGCCTGAACTCATAGGAAGAGAGCCATTTACAACGAATAACATTTTATATGTGAGCATGTTTGCGTCAGTTGTATCTGTATCCGTTGGTATTACATTCTGAACAAAAAATAAAGCATATCTACAATTAAGCAATATTAGCATACGCGTGAACTCTCATAATATTAGTGACCGACGACGTTTTATTTATTCGAGAGAAACTTGGTGAGCAAAGCTATTCTACCTACCGATTCGTAAGGTGTTTCAGTAACTTGTTCTATGCTCGCTCCACTAGTTGATGTTGAAGATTCTGGAGGAATAAAGGATGGATCGCCTAAAACAATAGCCAATGCTTCTTCCAAACTTCGATTATTAACAAGTCTCAACGCCTGAAAAACAGAAATCATCCGTAGGAAAAGGACTGAAATTTTCGAACAAAGAACCTGTCTGGCGTCATCCTTGTGAATTCCCATCTCAATTAAACTCGCGAAATATTCTTGATTAATGTCATGGTCTGTGTAAGAAGAAGAAGAAGCTGCTGCAGCTGCTGGTGGACCCCCTTCTGCCATAATAGTTTTGACTAAATCTGAAAGAATGATGTCGAAGTGTCATATATTTATCCAAACGAGTATTTCTTGCGCAAATATGACGCAATGCTGGTTCTTCTATGACATCATTATCTTCAATTAAACAAGATCGAATCGGTTTATCAAGTTATTATTAAAATTAGAGTACTTATAAATAGACAAACACGGATACTAAGTCAGCTTAGTGAATAACACAAACGAGAATAGCAACCCACGAACTTCGGACTTTAAATATGTGCATGATAGAATATGGAATCATGATGAATTAAAAAGCAAAAAGAAGCAGAAGAAAAAGAAATGAAAAAGAAAGCAATCACATGTTTTGTATAGGTTCAGATCTTTCGAAATAGAAAAAGAAACCATTCATTTGGGCGGAACTGCCGTAGATCGATACCGGGCCGATTTAGGTTTATCAACATTCAAAGATGGACGTGGAATTTTCGATTGGAATGTAGCCGTTGTTGTCGAGGACGGAGTCGTTCCAGTTGTATTCACTGTTGGCGGTGGCGATGGAGCGATAACTACAGACGGTGACATACCTCGTCTCATTGCACCTGTACGAGCTCCATTTGTCGATTTCGGAGCAGAGACAATGACAGGTTTGTTTGTAGTTGCTGCAGCTGATGCATTAGCAAATACATTGGATAAACGTGGTCGTCGAGCTGTTGCTGGCGATGCTGTTCCAGTGGTTTGTGGTTTCGACGATGGTAGTTTTGCAGTTACTGCAGAAGAAGTCTTTCGTTGCTGCGGTGTCGGTGCCGTGCTGGTTTTTGTGAATAACGAATTGATTTTGCGTGATAAGGTTGAGCGAAAATTATCGTTTGATTGAGAATTTGTAGCGGCATTTGTTGTTGCTGTTGTTGGTGATGTTGGCTGAATAATAGGTTGAGTAAAATTTCTTGAAGCACGTCTTGATATTGTCATAACCCAATCTCGTGCACTGTTTTTTGTTGAGCTCATGGTCATTATAGATGTATTTAATTGTTCATTAACGTCAGCGGGAATCGGATCTGGTTTATAAACTAATCGAAATGCTAGTGGAGAAAGTTTTTCTAATTGAACCATAATACGATCAAACAGCTTGAAAGTTGATTCAGATGCAACGAGAATGAGTGCTTCACGAGGCTGATAATAACGTTGGAGAATTTCTTTTTGTTTCATAAAATGATACAACCAATTGATAAGTTCATTTTTGCTAGAAGAGAAACGGAGTTCATGTTTAACACTTCATCGGAAAAGAATGAAATTGATTTACTTTAATAACGAAAAGATAAATGCTTGAAATTTATACAGCCAATAGGGAGACGCATTTTGAGCGATCTTTTTCACTTCATGAAACACTTGAAGCGATGATCCTACAAGTGAATAAAAGATTGTATTTCTTAGATTAAAGTTTTCCATTGACTATTAACCTTGATCAATCATGATTTCAACTATTTTCCAAATGTTGAGCTGTTTGGCTGACGGAGCATCTTTTGCTTGTGGCTTCAGACCATGTTCAAGAATATCCTGAAGAAGTGTGCACAGGTCATCTTTCAATAATTTGTCTAATCCAGAATTATTTTCATTCGCAAGGAAAAACGACTAAATAAGATAAAATTTGTTTCTTACGTCAATGCCTACAAGCATGCTTCACTCTTACTTTTCCCGATAGTTTTATTTCAAATACACGTTTGACAATCAGGACCGTTCTTTCGATAAAACCTAAAGAGAATTTACACGGTATAATTATTACTAAATGATTTCTTGTTTACACACCATTCAGAGTTGGATCATTTGTTGGCACTAATGTTACTGTTGATGCATTCATTATCATTGATTGTTCAGGAGTCTTATTTTCTTTATCATTAGATGCCGTCATCGTTCCATCGATTGACTTGGCTTCATCAACGGTAGTTGTAGTAGTGGCGGGTGTCGAAGGCGCTGGTTCATTAGTATCAGGTATGATATTTACATGAGTTCTTTCCATGATTGTTTGATCATCTTCATCCTCTGGATCAGGCGCAAGACTATCAGTTTCTTGAAAGTTGAATTCATTTGGAGGACTTTCAGTAAACGAATGTAAATGATGTATGCGATCGACGACAATGATATCCGCTGCAAGAGAAAAGATTCAATCATTTTTTTAAAATTCTGTTCGACCGTAGGAAAAGACTTACTTTGACAACGACGCATTTCTCCATAACGTGCTGTTGGTCGTCTCGCCAACGAATCTTTATCTCCATGTAATGCAATGGCTAGTTCATCATTGACAGCTGTATCAGTATCATCGACGAATATTTCCGGTGCAGGGTCAAATTTAATTGCTGGATTACATGGCGACATCAGATGCTTAGCAATGTTTTCGGAAAAACTAACACTTTTCTTCGTTTGATTCTGTTGTAGTAACATCAAATCATGATCTGAACGACGTCCATGAGTGTAGTCTGGTAGAACGTAGTGATTCAAATCATTCGATGAACCGGTTGTAACCATATCGGAAGGCCAGAGATTGTTCGAACGATTGGATAACATATCAGCCTCGGAAGAACGACGTTTTGATGATGGAGATGAATCCTAGAAGGTATTCGTAGTGATACGAACGGTTTTAAATGCATATGCATTTCTTACTTGATTACTAGCTGGTTCTGGTATAACTAATGTTGGTGCTGGTGATTTTCTATCTTGTAACATAGCTTGAATATCACATGAACTCGCTCTCGATCCGTGTTTGAGACAAGATTTTAGAGTTGATGCTTGCTGTTGTTGCTGTTGCTTGATTGGATAGGATGAAGGGGGTGGTAATTTCATCTTAATTACTGTTGGTGCCTCACTCGATCCATTGATGACGGCGGAGGCTGGTACAGCGGCGAATGTTTTGCGTAATTGAGGACTGTAGAAAACGCCTAATGGCTCCGTTGAATGTTTGCTGTTCTTATATCGTTTTATTGCTTTAAGTGTTCGAGGTCTCTCGGGTTCTTGTTGGCTAACTGTTGAAGACGATGACGCGTATGTTGGATTCATAGTTGATGAAGATGGTACTGGTGTATTTGCAGATAGTGGCGATGGGGATGTCGTACGTGATCGAGGTAATTCTTTTGAATATTGTGAAATAAACGCAAGATCAGGAAGAGATTTATGTATTGATGACGATGAATTAGGAAATGGTGATGGTCGTGAAGGAACATTCAAATGATTCGACGATTGTGAATCAGTGTTTGTTGATAGGTAGTCGTATGATTCGGATTTAGGAGCTAGAAAGCGAAAAATGAACATTCAATTTCTTCATTTGACAGAGAATAGCATACGTATAGTTGGTGTAGGTTGAAAACGACTGTTCATTTGACTGTTCGATGTAGAATCCAAAAAGATAGATGTTTGAATAGCTTGATCAGTGCCAGAACTGACTTGTGATGACGATGGGCGAGCCAGCCGTGGCACTTGCTTTTGCTGATAAGATGCTCTCGACTTTTCTGGCATCATTCTTTCGCCTGATATGGTCATATTATCCGGATCATTGGGCACAACTGAGTCACTTTGCTGTCGATAGAATTGAAATGCACTGCGTGGTGTATTTATGGACGTGGCCGCAGCACTTTGTGATTTTTGCTGAAAAATTTTATACAAACTCAAGGGTGATTGAGGTCGAGTTTCTTTCGTTTCAATGCCTGATGTTGTTCGCTGACTGTCTTTCATACGTCTCAAAGATGCGGACGACGACGATGATGTCGTGGAAGAATTGGGTGATGTGTTGCTTGCAGTATTAGTTGGTAGTTGTTGTTGAGGAGAAAATGATGTTGGATGCGATTGGGAACGAATAAATGCAGTCTGTTGATGAACAATTCCAGTTGTTGGTGTCGGTTTTTGATCATCTTGTTCCATCGATTGTTCTAAAGCATTCACTGAAGAACGCATTGACCAATCATTCATGTTATTAGCAACATTTGAAGATATTCCATCATCTGATAACATCGAAGCAGTTTGAAAACTAAGATGACATATAGCAAAAGCAAGTTTCTCTATGAAAACAGATTGACTTACTCGGTTGATCGATGCCGATGTTGATGGTGATGATGGTGATGTTTATGTTTATGAGATTTGCCCAGTTTCGGATCAATATGTTGCGCTTTGTCAGTACTAAATGTTAATCGATAGTTAGCGCGCGTATCGTATTGATCATCCCATGTGAAACCACCGTCTTGATCCATCAATAAACTTTGTTCAACTGGTGGAGTTTGCTGTTTTTTCGCGTCATCATTTTCAAAAATATCACGTTGATTAAAAAGACTATCCATCGATAAATTTTCATTGTTTAATAGCTCACCTGTATTGGTTAACGAGATACTTTTCAGGAGGAAATTATCTTCCGGTGTATCATCGATGCCCATCGCATCGGACGATACAGCTGTAAAAGATTTTGTGATAAGTTCTTGACGATTACGATTACTTAAAATATCTTCGAAGTTATCCAAATCAAGTGTTTGTTTTTCGAGATTTCTTATCAACTGTTCAACATTCTCCAGATGAGCAGACGAAGTAAGTAATAAAGGGTTAATCGTTGAATCGTCCATTGCAGGATTTTCTTCGTATTCTTAATGATTGTTCGGAATGGCAAAATGGAATGTCATGAGAAGAAACAGAGACCGCGGGTCTAAAACAGAAAGAAAAATTGTCTTTCTTTTCTATATACAAATAAAATAATATCATTCCACTATGAGATATGTATGAGAATAAATAGACGAAAAAATAGGGTTTTTTACTCTTTAATATAAACAAAAAAGAAAACTCAGCAGTCAGTTAAAATCAATTAAATTCGATCCATGTGTTTCCGTTGATTGGAAAGAAGGATAGAGACTAGCTTCTGGCGCCACCAATGGATCGAAATCTGCCGCTAATGACAAGTGAGAAGCATGTTGCACCGGATGAGTAGTTCTAGGATTCATTCGCGTATTTGTACCATACGTTGTTTGAATACTTCTCAGGACATTATTCACACAATTCGTAGGAATATGTTCATTGAGTGATGGATGACGATCAGCTACGTTGATATCCGAACGAAATAGCACTGCACTCGATTCATTCAGTGGGTCGAATTGTTGAACAAGAGTTTTGATTTCTGTTTGTTCTTCACCATATTCCTCTCGAGGATCGATGCGTTTGCCATCGAAGATTTGAACTTTATATTGAAGTTCACTTTGTAATTGTTTGATTTTCGAGTCAATTTTTGGTGATGAACGCGATGGTTCAGCAACTGAAGGTACTTGAACAACATCTAACATGATGGGAGATGGTAATAATAAATTCTAAACAACAGAATGAACATTGATTGGAGATAAAGGAAGAAGATGAGTTGTACTTCGTCAGTATCAAAATCGATTAGGGAATTCGCTTTTGATGGATCGAGTCCAGGTGTCGTCGAGCGTGAAGATGAAGACGTCAATGTACCGGAATGATTTGACTAAAAGAAAAGCAATTGAAATCGATTTTCTAGAACAAAAACCGTTTGGAAATTTACCTGTGGCAGCGCCAGATGATTCGATTCGATCTAAATCATCACGAGAATCGCAAATATGTGTCACTATTTGAAACTTACGGACTCCTCGACTTTCCGTCGGATTACATCATTGATCTACAAACAGAAAAACAAGTTACTTTGCGTACATCTCACTCTCAACTCACATCGAACGAAGTCATATTTGTTTTCACTGCTGATGCTTCACTCACAACCTTTTGTCCAGCTTTATTGATCTAAATAGAAACGAATTCTGCTACGAATAAGTTCTCTTCCGTTGTTTATCACTTACAGCCGTCTGTAACCTTTCTGCTTT